TGGCAAACTTCAGTTCCCGTCAAGCAGCATCAGCACAGTAGCATCCTGTTATTAATTACACATCAATTCACCTTCTGAATCAACACCCTGTTCATCTGTCTCTGTTCTTTCCGATCAGCCAAATCTGATCGCCAAATCGTGCATTCATTCGCCTCTATTGATCTGCCTTGTCATTGTGCCATTACTCTCGCATTGCCTTACCTAGTTACACAAAAATACGATGAATCACTCGGTGTGAGTCTCCTCTGCCTAAACTTGGCTAATAATATCATCTCTAACGGACGTACTCGCCTGAAATCACAGGTACTTTTTCTGCATTCTATTGCATTTGTTTTCATCATTTGCCTTTTCCTTTTTAGGTATCGAAAACTTCTAGAAAAAATGGTTGAAACCAGCACTTCTCAGGGAGCTCCTGTGCCAGCCCCTCGATCTGATCCCAAACCTATTCTCTCTCCACTTAATTGCAAATTTGAACCTGAAACGCCAACTGAAATTGCGTCTATCGCCGATAGAGTCGCTCAAGATGTTATAAAAGAGGCCACTGAGTCTGTCGACTCGACACCACAGACAACTCCTAAAGTGCAAAAAGAAGAAGAACCGATTCCGGAAATTGTAGTCACTGAAAGCGGTCCTCAAATAACTTCAGACGATGAAGATATTGCAGAAGTTGAAGTGAAAGGTGACGTAAAAGAGGACAAAGTCGAGGAGCCTAAACCGGAACCAGTTGTAGCTGACAATACAAAGATTATTGAAGAGCCAAAAGTCAGTTTAGGTGATCCATTCGCTGAAGAAAATGAAGGAGAGCAGGATTTGACTAAATTGTCATCGCAACCAGATGATTCTGTTGATGGACCTTCTTCTTCTCCTTCGCCCTCGCCATCGCCATCCCCTAAACCGCGAATCCTTGCTGCCGAACGCAAGAAAATAGGAACAGCTGAGGTTGTAAAGTCTGAGCCACCTAAAGCAAAGCCTGGACCGGCGGCAAAACCTGAAACAAAGCAAAAAATTTATCCAACAGATTTGAATCCTTTCGGTGAAGAGGAAGAAGAAGGCGATCCTCAGTTTTTGGATGACATCAAATCACTTTCAAGCAAATCGGTGACTTCTACAAAAACTTCGAGCAGTGCAGCATCGAATCAGACTCCTCAAAAGCTGTATCCAACTGAAATGAATCCCTTCGGTGAGGAGGATGAGCCGGAGACTTCAAATGCTGCTGACAGCACTTCTGAGTCGTTGAATCCGTTTGGTGATTTTGAAGATGAGGAGGAAGTGGTTGTGGCTAAACCCGTTGCCCTACCAACACCATCACCTCGAAAGACTCTGACCACCACAACGACGCCACCACCACCGCCTCAGAGGAGCCCTCGAGGCGTGCGAAGTACGCCACAAAAGAAACGACTAGCTCCTGCTCCACCGACTGCTCCAAATGGAGCTTCCCCTGCGGCCAAACCTCCGCCTTGTCCACCGAGTCCATCGCTTGCCAAATCTGCGCCCCCATCAGAGCCTGCCTGTGATACTTCTTCTGCCTCCAGCTCGCGAACACCGACGCCCGTTCCACGTCGATCGAAAGCCCCTGTTCAGGCGGAGTCGGAGTCGCCAAACTCGCTCGAATCTTCCACCACACCAAATGCTCCGCCACGAACGCCCCAGTTGAAGGTGAAGAAACGGCCAGCTCCGCCAATTCCCGCCTTCAAGCGGTCAATCAAGTCCTCGGTTGCAGAGATGGACGCTGAGCTGGAGCGAATCGGTGATGAGCTGCCTGTGGTGGAGACAAGTCGGCTTCAACTGGAGCACTGGCTTCTCGAGGAGCAGTCCCGCCAGAGGGAGAGCAATCCGGACGAAGAGCCCACTGGTCAGGAGTACGAGGACAAGCTGCAGGAGTTTATTCAGTTTTCAATCAAACGATGCAAACTGGCGCAAAAGCAGAAGGAGTTTGCCTATCTGTACGAGAGATGACTTGCTTTTGACGTTCAAAACTAACACTGTTTTTTAAATTACAGAAAGCGTGAGCACAAACTTGAAGAGGCGCAAGTTGAGGTGGAGTTTAATCTGCGACAGATAATGTCAAAGCAAGGTGAGACATGATTTGCTTTTTTGTTGACAGGTTTTAACTTAAAGTTTTTTGTGATTATTTTTTGCAGACACTCTTAAAACTGAAGAAGACAAAACCACTGAAAAGGAGCTACTTGATAAGTTGGTAGAAATCATTGACGAGCGAAATGAGATTATCGAAGCAATGGTCAGAGCGGAGAATTTGTGAGTATTGCATGATTGTTTTGATCTCATTTTAACTCATCAACGTTTTTTCAACAGAGAAATCGAAGAATATATCCGAATGATTGCAAAGGTGATACCTGAACAGGCAAAGGAAATGAGGCCTAAGCCGCTGCATGTACCCTCGACGCCGGTGATTCAAACTCCTCCTGAGGTTCAGGCTAAAGTTCACAAGCATAGATCAGCCAGAAAACTTTTGAAGGTATGGTACTTTTTACATTATAAAGGCAAACCTTTTATTAATATGGCGTCTTTTCAGAACACCACTGCCTCTACGCTGTCCCTGTTGAAGCTGAAAAAAAAGAAGAAAAAGAAGGACAAGAACAAGGACAGTTCAGTGGACACTACGGATGGTCCCGTTAGCCCGTCGGTAGCAGTAGCACCAGCAACCACTGCAGCAACTGCCAACGAGTCTTCAGACACTGAGCCAGAAAATGAAGGTGTCAACTCGCAGGCCAACTCTACCGGCGCCGATGACTCACTTCAAGAGAGCATGGCCAGCATCGATCAGATCGAAACGGCAGAGACGGCAGGCGGCTCCTCTCTGGCGGCTGCTACGCCGCCGGTCACTAAAGATCGCAGTGAATCTCGGGCTTCATTGTCAGCTGAAAGTCCAAAGGATGTCGACCCGAGGAAGAAGAAGAGTGCCTTCTCCTCCCTGAGCAAGTCCACTTTTAAAAAGTTTTCTCCAAAGATCAAAGCTTCAGAGATCAAATCCAAATTGCAAAGCAACAACAAAGCGGCGCCCCCTTCTCCGGATGTACCCCAAAAACCGGCTCAGTGTGAGTCCAGTGACCCCAGTGAGACGACCGTGCCGCTTGAAGCCAATGAATCGACAAATGTTGAGCAGTCCAATGACGATAAACCGCCTGTGGTTTCTAATGGCTCTACGCCCAAAGCTGCAGAACCTGCAGAATCGATACATGCCACTCAATAAGATGGTAGAAACTAAAATTCTCTACTTATACGTCAAGTTATTTATTCAAATATTTATTTTGTGTACTGACTGTCCTATTTGATTATTATTTTAAGTTTATAAAAAAAATGTGAAGTTTTTAAACAAAAGGTAGTTGGTGGTCTAAAGATGATATTGATAATTTGGAAAAAAAGTTGATCAGCAATATTAGTCAACATCTTCGCCGTCTTGAAGCTCAATTATCGGTTTCAAATCTGTCGGTTTTAGTTCAGAAACTCGATCAATGGCAATCGCCAGACTGTGGAAGCTTATTTCGCTGGGAGCAATTGATACGTTCATCAAGCTGCTGTGATCAACGGGGGGTTCACTAGTAAACTCACTTTCATTGAGATTATCAGTTTCCCTATTGGTAGAATCGGATGATTCCCCCAAGTCAATCAATTCCCAGTGTTTAATGTACCTGAATGCTGATCGGTGTTTATCGAACTCCCACAGAATGCAAACATTAAAACTGGAGATCGACAAATGGCAGAGATTAGGAAACACCGAAGCCAGCGTTCGGGCAAGAAGATCGGCGGTGAGATCGTCGGTGAGGTAGAGGTTACGTATGGTCAGTTTTGTAAGTGTCAGTATCTGATGAGCAGTGCTCATTTTGAGGTGAAACAGCCTGCGGTCAACACGAATTGTGTCCAAGTGAAGTGTGGAAAAGGTTTTAAGTTTTTTCAGTGACTTGATCAAGTCGCTGCTGAGAAGTACTTCATTCAAGTCCAATTCTTCAATACACAAGGCTTTTCCAATGAACATAAGAACTGCATCCGAGTCTTTCTTTAGTCCAGTCAGCTTTAATCTGGTCAAGCCTTTTTGCATTTGTTTATTTTTCACCATAGCCTTCTTCAGCACATCGCCAGTTGTCAACACTGGTGAATTCAACTCTAAAGACTTGATCAGTTTTAACTGTTTTAAAACAGGATAAAGGTTAAATGGACAGTCGGCTAGTGAAAGGTGTTCCAGCTGAGGTAGAAGAAAAAAAAGGTTTGTTGTGAGATCAGATTCAGTGAGAAGGTTGTTCAAGTGCAGATTCAAGCGTTTTAAGTTTGAACAACTATTGATCGTTTGAAGCAAAGCTGCAAGTTTAGCCTTGGTGCTTAGATGAGCATGACCAGTCAATGTAAGTTCTAGAAGATAAGGTTGAAGTTTGAGGAAGCGAATTAACACATCAGTAGAGCATTTACGATCAAAATGAATCGTCAAATTTTGAAGTTGAGGAAAGAAACCGGCAAGAATAACAGGCTCAAACTTTGGAAGAATCATTGTGCTCAATGACCTCTTTCCGGTTGGTTTAATTCCTGCAAGTATGAGAACTTTTTTCCGCTTGCAAGCCTCTTCAATCACCCGTTTCCACCTTGAACAAACTGCTCTTAGTTTTATAATTTCTGGAAGTTCAATATAGCTGAAGATTGTTGTCAAGCAGTTGTCATTGAGATTTTTCAGCTCTGGAATTTCGTGAACCGTCGTTCTTGTAGACCAACCAAATCCAATATTGCGTCGATTGATTGACCAGCTGCGTTGAAGGACGTTTGGGGAAAACATGATGAAATGAGTATCCAGTAACTGATGACAAATAAGAAAAAAAAGTAGCGGGAGAATTGACAGTTGAATAGAATGAAAACAGACCATTTCGACCGTTCGGCGACTTGCATTTTGGACGGCTGTGTTGCAACAGACGTCTNTAAACCTTCGTTCTTGTAGACCAACCGAATCCAATATTGCGTCGATTGATTGACCAGCTGCGTTGAAGGACGTTTGGGGAAAACATGATGAAATGAGGATCCAGTAACTGATGACAAATAAGAAAAAAAAGTAGCGGGAGAATTGACAGTTGAATAGAATGAAAACAGACCATTTCGACCGTTCGGCGACTTGCATTTTGGACGGCTGTGTTGCAACAGACGTCTCAACAGATATTTGAATTCTTTGATTCTCAGTTTGATTTTGTTTTACGGAGCATTTTATACGAGTAAATAAGCAATTTGCTGTATATAAACAAATACTTATAAAAGGCTTTTGTGCTTATCAGCCCCATGTTTTTCCCGTAAGTCAGACCATAGGAGTTTTTCGTGTGCCAAATTTCAACAAGAAAACTAACTTGCAATTTCAAAACACTCCTTACTTTACATGCAATCGACAGCAAAAGCTTTGCCGGTTTGTGGACTGAACTACTTAACAATGCGGCAAACAAATGGATTCCCATGATTCCGTTGAACTGAGACAGAGCAAGTGCACCAAGAAATAAAATGTTTTTTCCAAATACATGGCCATGAATATACAAATTTACTACAAATGCATTCATCGGAATATTAAGAGAAAGGTAGACAAGAAGCATTTTGGATGCATAGAGATTGGCTTGTGCCACTAATTGAAGCAATTGAACTTGTGCTTTCTTAAATGAGTGCAAAAGACTCCAGTCAGTTTGTCGCAGTGCACATCGTAAAATGGTAATGTTAAGTTTTGATTTAAGAAAAAGACATTTTAAATAGGTCGTTAAGATGATGTTGGAAAGTGTAAAGACGTGACAGAATGGTATGATAAATCCAAAAAATGAAACCATGAAAAAGAAATGAAAGAAAAGATATAAAAATCCAGTAAAAGTTTTGAAAAAGAAATATGCGTGAAAATGAATGATGATAATTATTGTAGATTCCATATAGCCAAAAAAGATGTCTGAAAATTACAAGTTTTGTTAGAGAAAGTTTTATAAGTTGTAGAAATTTACTTGCCAATAATGACGATGTATCCTTGAGTGAGTATTGTCATTATTTTGGCAAAGTTTTGTATAGATTTAAATACTTTGGATGAAGCATTTGGAAAGAATTTACATGTACTTTTAAAGAGAATCCCTTTTAGAAAATCAATTATAAAAGAGCTTGGATTGACATAAATATTCTCAAAAAAATATAATGAAAGCAAGCAATTGATGAGGGCAATGAATTGATAAGTTGATCTATGAACACCAAAAGAGTATGCTTCATCAAAGAAAGCAATCATTTGAAGATTATTTATAGGAATAAAAATGAAGATGCCCTAGTAGAAACCTCGAAAAAGAATGCTAAATTCTATCAATCTTATTCTTGACAGACAATTGTAGTCTTGATGAAGAATCAGCTTTGCTGTAGCAAAGTACTTTTCTAAATACTCCATTGATTTTATAGGCAAAAAGTAGTAGAGGATGGAGTGTTGATAAGCTTTTAACATCTTTCGGTCGCTGTAGAAAAACACTAGTTGTTGACAATCAAATTCAATTTGTAGTCAAGTTTCAATAAAGTAAACACTAATGATTTAAAGATATTACCTCCTCATTGCACTCATTTCTTCAACGTCAAGAAACGAATTTTTAATTGATTAATTACCAAAATGCCGAGTTCTTGGAAAAAAGTTATTGATTTTGTAACTTTTTTCAAAACAAAATTTTCTTTTCACGGATCTCAGCTTGTCAAACTTCGAAATTACATTTTTGTATTGGCAAAATTGCAACTTACTGAATACGCATGTAAACACAAAAGGCACCACATGTTTACGACTCGTAATTTACGAGTCTGCCAAGCTGAGCCGCGTACTTTTTATGTTGTTTCATTAATTATTTATCAAGTACCTCAGAACTATAATTGCTCAATTTTAAACAAAGTTTTTAAAAAGTTTTATTGAATTGTTTAAAAATACACAGAATACAAATGAATGAACCAATTGTAAGTGTTGGTATCATTTTTTCTCATCTTTCTTCTTCTTGTCGTCTTTGCCTTTCTCAGCGTCCTTTTTCTTTTCCAGATGACGAAAGAAGCAAAACGAAGGACAGTAAACATCAAAAAGAACCATGCAGATGACGCATAAAATTAAAAGAAGGAGGAAGATTAAATAGTAGATCATTGGAATTGACCGGTCAGGATCCATCTTTGTAAGTTGAGCTTGAAAACTTGAAATGAAGAACTGTACTTTGTCCAACACAGTGTGCTTCGGATAGCAGTGATACTTTGGATTGGAGCACTATTATAAAAAGCAGCAGTAGAGTGCTTGAACAAGCGACTGCCAACAACAGGCCGGAAGAGAGTGTCCGAAAGTAGAAACTCTGACAAACAAGTGATCGAAGTATTCAAAACTTTTTTCAGGAGCATCTGTTCATCACAGTGCAACACACGACAACTGCCAATGATGAGCAAGCAGAAAGGCACTCATCCTCGAAGTTGCTTTAGCCAGCGACTCTTCATTCTTTACTGTTCCTGTTTCTAGCACATTTTTGAAAGTGTATGTTGCCTAGCCGTGCTAATTACAATTAGTTTAGTTAATGAGAAGTGCTTTTTAAGGACGATTTAACATCTAGCAGAATTCAGAGGTCGTTGTGAACTATCACAAAAGTTTTTACTACTTAAAATTACTAGTTTACATATTTAGTCAATATTAAGTAATTTGAAAACGTGCGTACATTAGTTGTCAATGTAATGACCTTGTAGCATTCTCACACTTTTCAATCGGAAGTCAATTTTGTTGTTAAAAAATGAAAATAAATTTGCACAAAAAATAATTAATTGAACTAAATCTTTATGTGTCAAGCTGATAAGCACAAAAACATTTGTATTTACTTTTGCCAATCTACAAATAATAATTTAGAGCGACTTTATTAAAAAAGTGTTTTATTATACAGCAAAATCCGCCAGCAAGCAAGGCCAAGTGGCAAACCACAGCTGATAACAGAATCAACTGGTGGTTTCGCATGAAATAAAATTGGCACTTGACAGCACTTTTATAGAGGGAAAGTTTTACAACTTTCAAACTAATTGTTGCAAAAGAAAGGTACGATGATGACGACGATGGTGGTGATGATAATAGTCAAATCAGTAGTATTGTCTAAATGGGGAGTGAATGTTAGCGTAATTGAGCATCGGTCACTTGCAAGCACGAAGCTGATCTGCTGGTGGTGTTCTCTGTGTTCAGCAATCTCCTCAAAACACACACACATCGACCATAAAGCTGTTCATTGTAAAGTGGTGCTTTTTATGGCACTTTTCACATGATTTCTCCAGTTATAGCAGTGTTCACCGGATTGGAAAGTCTACTTAAGCTGTCAGTGGTTTGTCATGGCGCCCACTTGCTCTCCTTTTCACCTTCTTCTTCTCTTACGTGGAAGATGAAGCTCCTCATTAGCGTGACTACTCTTCTTTTGGTGGCGGCCACCACTCTGGTTGCTGGCACTGAGGACGTTCAGCGGTACCACAACTACAGTGTGTACCGTCTGAAGCCGAACAATGTCTTTCAGGTGGCAATGATCAACGATCTGCAGGAGGTGGATGGCGTCGACTTTTGGCGAGAGGCTGATCAGGTGAATCGCATCGCCGATATGATGCTCTCTCCGGAAGCTAAAGAGACGGTGTTGCAAAAACTGGATGATCTTGGCATCAACTACGAGGTCATTATTTCCGATGTTGAGCAGTAAGTTGAAATGTGTTTTCTTGACAAAAAAGCTCAATTTTTTAAAACAAAACACAACATTTTTTAGACGAAACGAAGCAGAACGACAACAGCGGTTTGACACTCTCTTTCGACCTCATCCACTAGCTCGCGGAGCTGTTGATAACAAGGCAGACGCCATTCCTGATTTCTGGAAAACTTACCAACGCTACGACAGACATGTTGCCCTGGTCGATGCTCTGGTTGCCCAGAACCCTGCGATCGCCTCCAAGTTGACCATTGGCAAATCGTCTGAAAAACGCGATATTGTGGCAATTCGCATCGGCGTCAACGGCGGAAGTGCGAGCAAGAAGGTCATCTGGATTGAGGGGGGCATCCACGCCCGAGAGTGGATCAGTCCTGCCACTGTGACCTACTTTGCGCAGCAGTTGGTGAACAAGTACCAGGCCAATGACGACACCGTAAAGGACCTGCTCGGCTACTTTGACATCATCATTGTTCCTTCACTGAATGTCGACGGCTACGAGTACACGCACACCAACTCTCGACTCTGGCGAAAAACTCGCGGCAAGAACAGCGGCTCCACGTGCATTGGAGCCGACCCAAACCGTAACTTTGGGTACCAGTGGGGCGGCACTGGCGCCAGCTCCAATCCCTGCTCTGAGACTTACCGAGGGGACAAGGCCCACTCCGAGGTGGAAGTCCTGGCCGAAACTGACTACATTGTTAAGAACTTCAAAGGAAGAATTTCCTCCTTTCTTTCGGTGCACTCCTACGGTCAGTACTGGCTCTACCCATGGGGATATACTTCAAATGTCACTCCCGATGATAAAGAACTGGTAAGAGTTAGCGGCCAATGATTGTTTACTTTTCAACTATTGACCGGTTTATCTTTTTTCTAGAACCGAGTTGCAAAGGCCGCCGTTGCTGCCCTAAACAAGGTCACACCTAGCACCAAGTACACCATTGGAACTTCAACAAATGTTCTTTGTGAGTAAAGTTGTAGCGTAGTTTGGCTTGGCCTTTTTTGCAACTTACATTTTGACGTTTTCCTCAATCAGATGCTGCTGCTGGTGGCGCCGATGATTGGTCGTAAGTTAAAACCAAAACTTTTTTTGATGATGCTTAAAACTTACATTTTGTGCTTTTCTTTCAGTTATGGAAATGCGAGCGCCAAATTCTCGTACACCGTAGAGCTTCGTGACACTGGCACCTATGGCTTTCAGCTGCCTGCTAACCAGATTATTCCAACTGGCGAGGAAACTACTGCCGCCTTCATTGCTTTGGCAGTTGAGGTAAAAAAAAGTGGGGCATAAAATGAAGATGATGGCGCCAACTTTGTTGTTCTGTGATTCCTTCTGTTACAGCAAATAAAGTGTTGACACTTTTAGATAATACTTTTGAGGACTCAAAGTGTGTTTTATTTATTTTAAACTCTCATGCTCGATGTTTTGCAAACTGTTTTAGCAAGTGGTCCAGTAGCCAGAGCCAGTCTTTTATTAAAACACCGTGAGGGGAACGTCGTCCTCGACATCTTTGCCGTTTTCTCAGTCTTCCGTTGCTCGTTTCCATAACACCGTTGCCCCCGCCACTCACTGCCTTCAGCAGTTTTCTCGCCAGGTGTACCACCAGTTGATTGCTGCCACTGCTGTTACTGTACTGACTGTCGTCTCTTTTTTCATATTGCGAACCCTTCAAGCGACGCTGAAAGCTGTGATCATCTTTGCTTTCACTTTCCTCCATTTGACCTTTGAAGCGGTTTCTGCTTGCACTTTTGTCTTCAAACTTAGTTTTGTCCTCTTTCTCCTCTTCTTCTTCTACCTCCAAGTTTTTGCTGATGCTTTCTGTCAATTTCCCGCAATAATTTGATTTTTCGGTTACACTTTTTGTACTGCATTCGAACTATTACACCATCGTTTTGTGCATTCTCTCCCACGTGATGTTAACAAGGGGGGTGCAATGTTCTAGTTGTGCGTGTGCTTTGTATTTTTCCACCGAGTGCAGCTCAGTGCCTCGCATACCTCTCATTTTGGTGAATGCAAGTCGTCAGTTCCCGGTAGGCAAAATCGACCAGTGCTTAGTCAGTGGCATGCATCCCCATTTTCAAACTCTCCGTCACTCTCACTTTCTGTCTGCAACTCGACTAATGACCTGTACCATATTTGTGCTTTTAGCTAATGATCATCGCCGTTGTTGGCTCACTTTACAAGACATCAGTGCTGGTGCTGGTGATTGTGGTGCACTCGACATTACCTTTGCCTGGTGCATTTCAGTCTCATGCAAAATATCGTGTACAGTGCCAATTGATTTGTCCCCGTGAATGGCAGTACGTTTCTCTTGTTTCTCTTGTGTGTGTATTTACATTCGTGCTTTCGTACCTTCTCCTGCCAAACAGCTGCCTTGCGTTATTGTCATCACCACTTGCATCAGCACGTCAACTGTTTTCCGGACAAAGTTGACGTTTTTCTCCGAAAGAAACCGACTGTCGTCGCAGAGCTTGTGGTAACAGTAGCGCATGTAGCCGCGAAATGGACCTACAAAAACAATGAAGAAGAAGAAGAAAAAGAAGAAGATAATGATGATGATGATGTCAGCGTCTAATCAGGTAATTGAATCACTTTCTTTACCAGTGTCAGTGAGGAGAACAGCGCCCAGTGAGTTTGGATAGCTGCTGTGATTGTGATACCAAAAGTGCAGGTGATCACTGCGTAGCATGTTGACATGTTTTTGCAGGTCTTGAAAGCTTGCCGCTTTGCCTTTACTTAGGCTTTTAATGGACACTGGCTTTAGCTGGTACTGCTTCCAGTCTACCACCTCACTAGTAGTGCTCTTTTGAGCAGCTGACTCTGAATCATGCTTGCTCCACTTCTCTTCGATAAGTCTCGATATGGGCTGGTCGATGTTGGTGCGAGCAAACATGGCCAAAAAGTTTCCACTGTAGTTGCTTTGTTTGATTGCCGTGCTGAAGCCTGGCACCGTCAGGTGAATATCATTGGGAATGTCCTGTGTGCCCGGTTGAGCATCAAAGTTGAGCAGCGTGTCCATGATGATAGCCCCTTTGAAGTGACTGCGGTACTGAACATTACTGAGCTCATTCGGAATAAGGTACTCGTTGACAAAGTATTTGCTCCCAATGGCTCCCTAAAAACAATCAATTGCTTTACTTATTTTTCACTGTCACTTCAAAATATGTTTTCCTACCAATTCCTCTTGATCGAATGCCACAAAAATGATGCTGTAGGTCGTTTGGCAATGCTCAAGCAGTCTCACCATCTCCAGCATGACGCCAATGCCCGAGCCGTTGTCATTCAAACCGCTGGTATTTTTGACTGTGTCGTAGTGGGCGCCGATGACTAGAGCAACTATCTGGTCATTGACCGGTGGTGAGCGAAGCCGCTCTCGACCGCTCCGTTTCCGCCGAGCAGTGCCCTTTCGAATGCCAATAATGTTGATGCCTTCATTCTATGTGGTGGTGGAAAACAATTTACTGTAAAAGCACTGATGTACCTTTAGCTCACCTCGATGACTCACCTCAATATACGGTGCTTTGAACTTCTGTTCAGTCACATTGAGACCAAAGCTGCGAAATGTGTCGCTAATGTATTGTCGAGCTCGTACTTTGCTGTTGACATTGAAGCGATTCAGCGAGGAAAGGTACTTTAAGCTAAGTGAAAGTTCTCGAGCATTAGATTGAAGTAATAAATCGGTCGTTTGCGTGGGCCGTTTGCCGCGGTAAAGCGGCAACTTGTTTGGACTTTCCATTCGATTTGAAGATGTGATGATGGATGGGAATGCTGCTTTTGGTGAGCTTTTTATTATGTAAGTTTTCTGATGAGGTTGGACAATCATTTTTATTGGCTGTTGGTTACTTTGATAAAATTTGTGTTACTGTTATTTTAAAATTTAAGCCAAAAAATCTTACAACTTTGATGGTATTTGCAATGATAAAGCATCGAGGAAAGGCTGAAAGTGATGCTGCTGACTACTGAACTCTGTCTGAAGTTGGCACCACACGAAAGAATACAAAAAAATGCTGATTAAAAGAAAACATGCCAAGTGTACTTTGCTAATTAAAGTCATAATTTGTCAGTGAATGCTGCTCTCGTGCCCACCGCTCTCTGGTGGACAGTGGTCATTCTGCTCAGGTGACACTGACCATTTAAGTGTCCTACAAGTGCTCACGCACTAAAGTGAAATTAGGTCTCTATGTCTTTTTTCACTAGCCTGCCTGACAATCAACCAGACAATCGTGGCCACTCTGCTGAGGCTGCCTTTGAAACCCAAACTGGTTTTTCCTCGACCCAGATTCTCATGTGCGCCAGTTTTTGTGCATCTTGCACAATCAAAGTGTTGTACAGAGTCCCCATCATTTCGCTGTGTTTCTCTGTGTGTGCTTTTTTACTGGAAGTCTTTGTTTGCACTGTTCCGGACGGTTCCACTGAAAGGTGCATTTCTCCTCCTTTATCTGGGCGCATTCAGATGCTAATTGCCATCAGTGCTGTGCGTGCGTGTGCGGCAGCACACTTCGCAGTGCAGTGATGACAATCAAATCAGACCAGTGCCTCCGTCGTTGTTGACCAGTGCACGCGCTGTCCACCATCGGTGCCGCCAGTCAACGGTCGTTGATTTATTAGCTGTGCTCACAGTGTGTGTGCCATTGACCATCACTTGGGCTTTTTATTTTACTTATTATCGCCTTTGCGGCAAAACTGTCAACTGACTGGCAGTGAGTGCTGGGGAATGTAAACTGTTTCCTTGTGTTAGTATAAATATTTGAGTTGTAGGACGTTTTTAATTTAGTTTTGTTTATTTTTTTATTAGCATTTAAAGTTTTTGTTTAAATTAAAATTGATCAAAGCTACACGTGTGCGAATTGTCATTGAAATGAGTTTTTACAGGAGGAAAATGATGAGTTGGCGATGAACTGATGGGTGAGATGGTATTAAATAAAATGATGATGAAAGTTTGGGAAAAGAGGGAAAATGGGCTCGTGTTTGGTAGGGGCCGGTGAACAAGAACTTGACTTTGCTTGGCCTATTTGAAAATTCCATGAGGATGTCGCCTGATTTTAGTTTTGCTGATTAAATGAGTTTTTGCAACATTTAAAAACAATTTTGAAAGGATTTAAGAAAAGGTACTAAAGGGGATTTCAATTTAAGGAATTCAATGACTGAATTATTAACTACTTCTCCAGATTATGATTTTTTCCATTGCCATTTTTGACAATCTTTATCAACTTTCAACGCAGTTTTTAGCTTCAGTATTGCTTTTGAAGCAAACACATTTTTTCTGAACAGGTCATTTCACACGGCCATCATTTCGTGAGTATCACAGTCAGGGGAGATTGAGAAAGAAAGGATCTGCGTTGCCAGTGCACGGCACTGATGCACCTCTTACATTTCTCTCATTATTGTGTGACTCGATTCGTTTCTGTGTCGTCTTGTTTGACTGACGTCTTTTTGATAATTTGAGCCTCAGCAAATCTCACTCGTGGCCCTGCTGTCTTTCATCGACATCACAGGAGCCGTCTATCTGCGGTGGGCCACTGCCGCCTCCGCCACCGCCGTAGGGAGACACTGAGCTGACTGGAGATTTAATGCTCAGCTGATAGGGCATACTCGAGAGAGTGGTCCACTTCTGTCGATTGTCAAGTACGCCGTTTACGAGAGGTGTAAGCTGATTGGGAAATAGCTTGGCAAAGGACTCGTAGACAGGCAGGCAGATGGAGCTGATAAAGGACAGTTGCATCTTTGGCAGTTCCTCGCGCTTCTCGCGATTCATCATATCCTGTGAGAAGAAATTCAGTGTGTTAGTGTATTTGGGTAGTGTTCAGGGGATGGTACAGCTACTCACAATAGGCTCAATTTTGAGCTGCGCCTTTTCAATGTCTCCTTGTTGGAAAAACTCACTGGCCACCAGCTCGGCCACCACCTTTTGCACTTCCCTGTTCATAAATGATTGAAGTGTTTTAGCAAAAAGTAAATTTAGACAATCATTCCTGTCATCTGCTGACAGCATACCATGGCTTTGTAATTGCGGCAATATCACAGGCAGTCATCAGCATTGACCGGAGCAGAGAGCGGTGCACATCATTGCCCCAGTCGAGGGCCTCTCTGTTGACCAGCTCAAAGAAGGCGTCTCGTTTGCGAAAGTAGACGGCAAGGTCGGTGGCGAGAATGGCCTCCTCGAGAACACTGACCACGTGGCGGTACTCTTCAGGAGAGAGATTGCTCAGAATTTGATTGCCTTGGCTGTTGAGTATCATTAGTGACTGTGAAAAATAATGGAAAGGGATTAGGTTGGAGACTAAAAGTATAACCTTTTTACGCAAATGATTGAGCGTACCTGATCAAAGTGGTGGTGCTCCAGAGTGGAGGTAGAGTAAAGCTGAGCCAGTGGGGAGCTGGTTTTAATTTGAAATGAGTTGTTGGTGCCACGGTGGTCTAGGTCGTGGCTGAGGCAGGCGACAATCAGCGCTAGTGTCTCCAGTTCACCTAGGATGCGGCTAAGGTTGGTGTTCTGATTATAAAAGCAAAGTATTAGTTTTTGTCAATATTTTTAACATTTTGAAATGAATTTACCACAAGAATAGCGTAGAGNAAAAACAAAGTATTAGTTTTTATCAACATTTTTAACATTTTGAAATGAATTTACCACAAGAATAGCGTAGAGAAACTGCGCCACGTTAAAGGCGTGTCGCCAGTTGTGGTAGAGAACGGGGCGGTAGTTCTTGCGCACGCTGAGAATCCACTTGCAGAGGACCTTGTAGTCGATGTGGAAGCGCTCTATGAGATCGAGGTCGAGGAACATTCGAATGACGCCCCTGATCATCTGATCTTCCGTCAGGCTAAAGTCGCGGAAATGCAGCTTGTCCAAGCACAGGCTACTCGTCGAGGGAATCATCATTCGCTGCAGGTCGTACTAAAGTGTCGAAGTTAGTGTTTTGTGAAAAACCGATTACTGAAATAAAGAAAAACAGAACTTACGGCAAATTTGGCGGCTTCCTGGTCGGTGGCCGAGGCGTGGTAAGAGAGCAGCTCGAGGGTGACCCGCTGCTTGGCCATCGCCTTGACCGCCTTTTCGAACATTTGCGTGTTCTCAATGCCCATGCCGCTGAAGATGGCGAAGCCCTCAAAGATGTTGATGTCATTCATGTTGAAGGGCTGTCCATTGAGTTTGTTCACCAGTTGCGCCACGCCGATGATCTTGCGCGAGGCATTGCGAATGGGCATGCAGAGGATGCCCCGGTGGCGGAAGCCGGCCTCATTGCTGGCGTGATCGTCCACGTGGGCGTCAAAACGGGGGTCCGCGTAGGCGTCGGCAATGTTGAGCGTCTCGCCGGTGCTGGCGACGTAGCCGGTGACGCCGACGTTGATGGGAAAGCGACCCTCAAAAGGCGTCTGGTGCAGTTTCTCAAAGTCAGGCTTGTCGACGTCACTGCGCGCCAGGTCGAAGACTCGCGTGAAGCTGAAGCTGCTGCGGCCACCTGGGCTGTTTCCGCCCACCACCGGCGGCACCGGCGATGTCTCTGAGTCGGCATTGGAGGCATTGCTGCTGCTGGTGGAGGAGGTGGTGGTGGCTGTGGTGGTGGTGGCTATGGTGCTCGAGGTCGATCCGCCCACCGACTGCCCGTCCGAGGAGGAGGTGAGGCCGCAGTCGTTGGCGATGCGCGCCTGCGTCGTCGTCATGTTGAAGTAGCCATAGGGGTCCTGGTACGTCCGTCCGTAGTAGTAGAAGTCGCCGTCGGTGGTCTCCTCCGTCAGCAGCAGTATCTGCGCCCGTTCGCACTGCAGCAGCGAGAGGGTGTGCACTAGGATGCGGAAGATGATGTTCTCAATGGTGGACTGCTTCTCGAAGATCATGCGCGCCAGGTCGAGCAGCACCTGGTTGCGGCGGTTCTCCAGCTGCGAGAGCTCGTACAGCTGAGCATTGCGCAGGCCGATGCCGCAGAACTGCAGGTACCGGGCGAAGACCGCCTCGTCGCTGGCGGTGAAGCAGGGGGCGCCGTTCTTGTTGATCACCTGGGCAACCCCGAGCACTGTGCCGTCCACGTCGACGATGGGATTGCACAGCATGTTCCGTGTCGTGTAGCCGGTCTTCTGGTCGATGGTCGAGGAGAAGTGGGCGTCCTAAAACAGAAATTGAAAAAGAGCGTGAGTTTGTGATTAGTTGAAGAGAACAGAGACAATCAGTTGCCGGCAAAGCCAATCAGTGGCAGCAGTGTTCAGGCCCCATTAGAGCGACACCATTAGGGCAATTTGCGTCTGCTGCTGCTGCTTCTGCCGAGAAATGGACTGATTTCAGTGCTGGAAGGCATCACTGGAGTCATCATTGCCAAATTGAGCAGTAGTGTCCTCTCTTTCATTCATTCATTGCCTTTGCTTTTTAAATGTGTGCCTTCTTTTTCAGCTGCGTCGATTTCACTGTCCATTTGCCAGCGGGCTTCAGCTGTGGTGCCGCATCACTCTCCCACTCTCTCTTTGTTGGCCCCGATAAAAACAATCTATCGCTCTGTGCATTCTAAATAATGCAATCAAGTGAATTGCTCCATTTGCTCGTGGCTCCAGTGATGACTTCTGCTGCTGCTGCTGGTGGTGCTGTTGTCTTTTTGTACTCTACTCTTTTTAGTCTGCTCAGCTGTTGTTGCTGCTCCTCCAAATACTCTTTAGCTTGATGGGCCCGAGCAAGTCGCGATTCGCTGCGCTTCACTGCATCTGAAACTGCACAGCAGCAGCCGCATTCTTGACTGCGTGCTTTTGTGCTTCGATAAATCAAACGCACACACACAGCGCTAGCAGCGCTTGCGTTGGTGGCATTCTCAAGAATTGTACAATTGCGAGTGGCGGCGGCGGCCCTTTCACTGGCAGCCCTTTCGGTCGATCATTAAAAATTAAGAATGCTCTCACAGCTTCGATTAGGGTAGTGCGCTCAGTTTCAGACAGGCAGACAAACAGCAGCAGAAGACAGTAGCAAGAGCAACCAAGTTGCCGTCAGCAGCAGCAGCAACAGAAAATGAAGCAGCCGAATCGATGACTTATCGATTTAATCTATTAACGAGCTTAGTCCTGTCAACAGACTCACACCACTTTGGCACAGCTGACTTTGCTGTGCTCGCTCAATTGGCTCAATTGTCTCAGTTGTCAGCCTACTCCTTTTCTCCCGTTTGGCACTGCTAACTACACGCTGATTTGGCAGAATTGATTTGGTGACAAAAACAAAAACACAATAAACACAAAAATAGACAAACAGACAAACACTTACCTTGTAGCAGTCTGGAATGTTCACCGATTTGCCTGATTCGGCGACGTGGCCGACAATGCCCTTGCCCCACGGAATGGTGATCTCCTCCTTCAAAGACACTTGTTCTATGGTCGATTGACCAGAGACGTCAAAAAGGTGACTTGCTAGGTATCTGCAGGAGAAAAGAAATGGGGATAATTTAGTAGGCCGTTTTTTATCGTAAACCACTTTGCACCCAAAGATAGCAGCGCAATCTTTCACTCCCCTGCCTTGTCCTTATCAGCGTCTGCCCACCGCCTAATCGCCCTGCCGTCTAGTGCACATTCCTTTGACAATTGCTTTCAATTTGCATATTCTTTGTGATGGCGCCGCCGCCAAGTGGCCCTCTTCTCTTCTTGTTTGTTTATCATTCACATCATCCTCAATGCTGACAAATGGGCATGGATGACTCCTTTGTTGTTTGTTTTTTTGTTGTTGTTCCATCATTACCACAAGCAGCAGCAACAGCAAAACATCCCCAGTAGCACTTTAGCAATCAGAAATACTACAGCAGAGTATTTGGCTAGTGGGTGCACTTCAGTGTCTCTTGATTCGCTGCTAATTTGCTCATTCTCTCTAAAGAAAAGAAAGCGCCTCAAGAGACGCTTTTTTTCTTTTTCTCTTTCTTTTTTGTCTCGTCCGGGCAGTGACTCTTCTCGGGTCCAATTGGCTCAATCTGCTGGTGTAGTGAGTGGTGGTAACCCAGGCTAAAGGAACCTAATGGCAGACCCTCTAACGACTGCTATGCCTGCGGCCAGTCGTTTCTCATATTTTCCCCTTTTTTTAAAAGCGGCTGTTTTCTCATGCATGCCATTATGCCATCGTCCTCAATTTTTCTGGGCAGTTTTTCAATTTGCATTGCTACCATTTCCTCTGAGATTGCCCTCTCTAGTCATACCCTCTCCCTCTTGGCTCATACAGTCTTTCTCTCAGTTTTGCCGACTGCCAGTGTCACCTACCTGGTTTTCGGTTCATTCTTCTCTCCACGCACCTGTGAATGGAATGGAAAAACATGTTTAGCTACTGAATGCTTGTCATCGTTTGCTTTACACCGGGTACACTGATAGAGAGCTACTTTTGGCCGCAGAAGTGTGTCATCAGTGAGGAAAACACTGTGCAAACACTGTGCCACCACCACCAGTGAATGAATTGGTGCAGCAGTGAAGAACTGCAAACAGAACCAAAAGAAACTGGCACTGGGACTGGGACTGACACTTACAATAAAGAGCGAACACCGGTCTGCATTGGTGAGGATGGAGACGTTTTTGAGGATCTTGTGGCAGAGTGATCGAACGTCCAGATCGTTGCAGATGTCTTTCACCAGCTCAAAGATGAGCTCATTCTCATTGTTGATGGCCTCAATCTCCTCACGAGACTTGCCGCTGACGTTGCTGCCAAAGGAGATCAGCGGACCGCCGAGAGAGGCGTGACGAATGCGAGCTCCAGCAGTTATGAAGGACGGGTTTTTGCTGGGAGTGGCAGTGGCGGTGGAGGTGGATGAGGAAGCGGAGACGGTGCCCAGCTGAGTGCTGCCGGTGAGGGTGTTCATTGAGGAGGAGGAGGTATTGCTGGAGATCAGAGAGGTCGAGGAGAGTGAGGGCAGAATGCCGAATTCGCCTGATGTGGGGGAGATGCGCGCCAATGAGGATGACTGATGATGCTGATGATGCTGTTGTTGATGTTTTGCAAGTCCGCTAGCTGCTTTGACGGCGGTGGTCGCCGACTGCGGAGTTGCAGTGGCGCCCGGTGTCGTTACACTGGAGGCTGTGCTCGATGGCACGCCAACGGCCGCCGCTGCCGTTGCCGTCGTCGTCAACTGCTCAAAGCCTACTGCCGCCGCTGTCGACTGCGACTCTGTCGTCGTCGTAAGCTTGGTCGCCGCATTGTCTTGTTGGATGGGCAGAAAGGTGGGCGTGCCGTCGAATGTGGTGGAGACCATGGGTCGGAGGAAGCCGCCGCCGCTGGCCTCAAACTCGTGTGCGGAGATCTTGCGAACGGGCGTGTTGGCGCCGGAGTTTTCAGTGCTAGTCAGCGTCTGATTGGCGCTCAGAGTAGCTACGAGGAGAGGGTAAAAAGAAAAGGAAGAAAATGCGTTGAGGAATACAATGAAAAATGATTATGGTTTGAGCTGAAAAAAGCAGAAAAGAAAGAAAGAAAGAAGGGAAAAAGAGAGGAAAAGATAGAGGAAGGGAGAAGGGAATAGGAACAGTAGGATAGGAAGAAAAAGAAAGATAAAGCAGAGGGAAAGTTGCGAGCTGTTGGTGAGCGGGAGGGGTACTCTGCAGCCATCATCGGCATCTCTGAATCGATGTGATGGTGCTCAGGCAGAAGCTGACTACGTGCAGCATCGAGTTAGGCGAATTAGTGTGTCAGCCGCAGTATGACAGTGGACAGAGCGGCAGTTCAACAGCAGCAGTTTACTTTGTCTTGCACTGTACGGTCATCTCCTTTTCCCCTCTCTTTTCTGTGCATCTGTTTCCTCTCCCTTTCTGCATATCTAACTGTCACCCGACCACCATCACTGCAGCAGCGGCAATTAATGCACACTGTCGTCGAGAAATGCCATTAGGGTAATGCCATCAGAGTAGAATGTAAAAGAAGAGAAACTGTCTCAGAGAAAGTACCAGTGCCCAAATTCTCCTTCTTTCCTTCTTCCTTCTTCGAACGTTCCCTTTACTCGTAATTCGATATTTGCTTATTTATTGCCATCACCAGCAGATTAGCGCCACTAGGCCGTGCTCGTCAGCAGTGGCGGAAGAAACGAGAGAGAAAGAGAGAGCGAAGGATTTAGGACTTTCTTTGTGCTCTTCGGGCTCTTTGTCTTTACTACTCTTCCACCATCTAGGCGCCGCTGCCGCCTTTTCCCTTTCATTTTATCTGCGTTTGTTTGTTTTCATAACAGTAGCTCTAGCCTAGGAAGAGAGTTACTTTTTTGTGTGTCGGTTCAGTCGTGCTCAGTCCGCTTCTAGTGTTGCAATAGACATATTTACCCAAGCAGTGAGTGTGCATCGATATCGATTAGAATGGCTGGCTGGCTGTAGTGGCTGAAGCAAGTGCCGTTGCTACTGGTGCCTGCTTACACTGACTTATGCTGTCTTTCCATGATGACTATCAGTGCCCGGCAGTTGGCACTCGTGCACTTCTTCACCACACTGGTCGGCCGCCGATGGTCGTCGTCTGCTGCCACCGACTGCTGATCGACTATTTAAATGTGCACCCATGTTTGCACCCAGTCTCCTACTGCTTTCCTATGATGCCTGTGATGTGTCCTGTGCCTGGGTACCACCACCAGCCGACATATCGCTGTGGCCATTTTTCTCCCAGCTGAAACACAGCAGCAGCAGCAGCTCATTACTCGGAAGGGCCATTTTTCAATATCACTAATGTCTTAGGCAGAGAGGAGCGCCTGAGCTCGTTGCTAAAGCAGACGGCTGCCACTGCTGCTTATCGTTCATAATATTAGCAATTGCGCTAATGACTGCACAAAAAAAGGGCGAGCTGTGCCACGGCATTCACTCAGCTGCCTTTCACTCACTAACTTTCCTGCACTCATTTTTTTATTTATGAGGCCACATCGTTCTAGGCACATCTAGGCATCGTTTGCGTAGGGAATCAACAAACTTTGGCTGCCAACTTTGTGCAGAACTCTNCTAACTTTCCTGCACTCATTTTTTTATTTATGAGGCCACATCGTTCTAGGCACATCTAGGCATCGTTTGCGTAGGGAATCAACAAACTTTGGCTGCCAACTTTGTGCAGAACTCTCTCTTTCTCTCACTTATTCTCATTGGTCAGTGAAACTCGGTCACTGGATCGCCGAGTCTGCTGGTCGTAAATCCTCAGCTAGAAGTTTGCTGTTTTTAGAGGCAGCAACAGAAATTCTTATTCTCACAACAATGGCCAGCAGTCGTTGACCAACTTTTTTGCTGCACTCTTCTCTCGCTCTTTCGGTCATTAATCTCCTTCTCCCTTTCTCTCTGCTTGTGACTAGTTCAAGTCACTAGTCACTTCGTGAATTGGTCACATTTTCTATTCTCTTTTCATTTTATTGCTGCTCCCTCTTTTTCTTGTTCTCCTCATTGTGCTCATTTGTGTTCGTGTAGCACTTTTTGAGCATAGCACTTGTTTGTTGGTTGTTCCATGTTAAAACAAGCCAGAGCATGGAACAAGAACGTCTACTGCTGAGATGCCTATTGCCTTAACGAGATATACTTCAGTGGGCCGTCTTTTTAGCTTTCAATATTGCTTGTTTGTGTACTGCAGTTTTCTGCAGTTTTGTTTTGTGATCATTGCAACACTGAAAAACGCTCTCTCTCACTGAATGAGAGAATGTGAATAGAAAATGGCGCAGTTTGTCTCCGTCTGCAGGCACTGTGACACACACTGTGCTACACTGATCAGTCCAATTGTCGTACTACAGTGTCGTACTGGCACCGTCGTCGGCTGACTGCATCTCAATTGGCCCACTGTCCAGGCATTGCTAGGAGGGTACTAGCTGTCGGCTGCAAGTCTGCAAGTAATTGAATCACTACACGGCAAATTGAATTAAAGCTGTGTGTGAGACACTGAGAGAGCACCGCCGAGCAGAATGCGAAGAAGCGACACTGATGCTCTCACTTAGATGCAAGCATTAGTAGTGAATGGCTATGTGCAGTTTGGTAAATGTGTGTGTGTAGATGTGATATGTAATATATCTTTGGGGACACTCACTGGGTACTTGGGAATAGGCAATCGAGTGACGATGTCTTCGTGTCTTGCATGCTGTCAGTGGATGATGGTCCAGGAATATAAGGTGCTTGGAGGAGGTGGTGGCGCAGGCAGACTTACCCAATGTCCCCGTCGAGGTGGAGTGGGTGACCAGCCACTGGTCCACCAGTGGGCGAGACACCTTCCGCAGGAAGTAGCTTTGCACAAAGGCAGGGTGCTCGTCCAGCCAGTCCTGGAAAAACAGAAAATTTGGCCAATATTTGTGTTAGTGTTAGTGTTAGAGTCAATGAATTGTAAGCATTGCATCATACCTCAATCTTTTCATAGTTCTCCTCAAGGAAGATGTCTTCACAGGCGTGCTCGCCATTGCTCGCGGTGAGCAGTGTTGCCGTCGCTGCACCGCTGCCCGCAGTATTCGGTCCAATAGTAGTGGGGCCTTTTCGTGAGGATGAATGCGAACTCCGGTGAACCCGCTGCTGCTGCTCCGAAGTGGGTGGTGCTGCTGCTTTGCCGCCATTCGATGCCTCGGTCATCTTATCGAGCCCCCTTCTTCCGCTGATCTCCCGGTCGACGGTTGACGTTCTCAGCTGCAGAGCAGCGGAGGCACTGCTTGTAGGTACTGTTGGGGAGAAAGGCGATGACGATGATGTTTGGGGGTGGTGTAGCTGAGTGGTGTTGGTGCTAAGTGGTGTTGTTGTACATCTTTCAGCGACTGCACCACGACCACTGCCTCTGGTGGCAGGTACCGGTGCAGTAGTAACTGAGTAGCCGTGACTGATGTGCCCTTCTCCGCCTATGTTCGGGGCGTTCGGAGAGCTGCGAGGGTGCCAGCCTAATGGGAGCAAAAGAAAAAAAGAATAAAAACAGATGAGGGTTAGTATGTTTGAGCAAAGATGTTTTTCCGTACAGTGCATTTGTAAAACATGGAATAAAACAATTTCTACACCACTAAAGCTTGAGCTTGAAAGTAGTAAACAGCAACTAGTAAAGTAAGTGGAGTAGTGGAGGAAGGAGTTTGTGAGTGGTGCGAGTGGAGTGAGACCGACATGCGAGTGGCAGGAGTGATCAAGTGAGTGAGTGGTAGTAATAGTAAAGTGGAATGAGACCACCCGTAGCTCACCCGGTGGCCACAGTGGCCTCCACAGAGCTGATGCAATCGTCGGACAGAAGGTGGTTGGGGTGGTAGCTCGAGGAGACCGGGATGAAGAGCGACGAGAGGTAGTGTTTGCCAGTGGTAACTGATGCTGCTGCTGTTGCTGATGTTGTTGCTGATGCTGTTGGTCATTCCTATGCGACAATTCCTGTCCTCTCTTTTCAGCATGTACGCTGCTGCTGCCTTTCTTGCGTTGGTGCGATGACGATGAGCTCTTCTTGTCACTTCCATTGCTTTTTTGCCTCGACACACGACGCGCCGGACTGCGCTGGTCCGTTTTGGCGCTGCAAATGCTCGTCTGCTCATCGGACACTGAATTGGGTCGACTTTTGAAGCCACTGCTGCTGCTGCTGCGACCCGAGGAGCTGTGTGGAGTGCCCGGCGGAAGGAGGCTGAGAAATGAACTGGGCAGCAGGTGCACTCTCCGCTTACGACCCTTGCTACTACTACTGGCGTCCTCTTCTTCGCCCTCTTCACCTATTTCTCCTTCACCTCCATCCTCGCCTGCCTTTTCCAGGTTTTCATCACAAGCGGAACAGGTTGAACTTCGTGATTTGACCGGCTCGCAGAAGAACACATTAGGACTAGGCGGGGCGCTGCTTCGTCCCGACAGAAGTGAGGTGGTGGAGGGAGCCATCAGGCGCATTTGCGGCAGAACTGCAGCTGCCGCCGGTGTTACCGAGTTTTCCTGGGCGCTCATCGTGCGAACCGATTCCTGGCCACGGCAAGTGTCGATGCGGGTTACTTTTTTGAGGTATCCGAACATGGTGCACGAGCAGAGGAGGAGGAAGAGAGGGTGGTATTGATTGCAAGTGGAAGTGAAGATGTTTGGATCAGATTAGATTAGCGGCCATTAGTGGAGAAATGGTTTGTTTGTTGTTGTAAAGAAAGATGATGAAGTCGATTTATCGATTCAAGTCGGCGACGATGGTGGTGGTAGTGGTGGCGGCGGCGGAGGCGGCAGTGGTGCAGGTTGCAGCAGCAGGAGAAGGTGGCAGAGATAGGCGGACAAATTGATTACTAAGTGCATTATTTATGAGGCAGCCTCAAGTTGTGCAAGAGCAAGTCAAGCGAGGAAGAAGCTTGCAGCTGAGCTGCTGCTTATGCTGCTGCTGAGCCGCCTAAATCGAGCCACACGCTCCACCGAACGGACGGCAAATTAGCGACTTGTAGTGCGACGCGCATTAATAATGCAGTGCAGTGCGGTACGAACTGTCCTGCACGAACTGAACGAACTGCCTGTCTCCGACGAGAATAGTAATGCAGTTAGAATACTACGTCTAATTAGCTCTAATTAATTAGAGGTAATTAGCAGCGAGGGAGGAAAGAAGACGCTGGTGCTGGTCAGCAACACTGCCGGTGCAAAGATTGATTGCCGCTGAAAAAAGTGCTCATTGGAGGGATGAATTTAAACTCTGTGCAAAAACTGCAAAAATTTTATGATCTGAGAGAGATCATGAATATATTCAAGGAACAAGTTGTGGTCACTCCAAGTTGCACTGCTGTTGGTGCTTGTCATTTGCATATTCAAATGAGCAGTTTAAATGTGGAAGATTTTTGCTAAAGTTGTGTCAACGACTTTTTTTAGAGTTTTTATATGCTTTTTATAAAGCTCTTTACGTGCACTTTAATGATACTAAACTGCAGAAAACAGTGCTGAGCTGTGCGTTGAGCAGCATCGACATCTGCCAGATGACAGATGATTCTCATCATCACAGCTGTCTGAGATGCGCACAGCAAGTGATCGGCACGCAGAATGAAAGGTGGCAGGTTAATGAGAGGAGGGAAGTGGAAATGGAAAACCGGCGGGAAAACAACAGTGGTGGTGGTGGTGAAGCAACAGCACAGTGAGCTAAAGGGAACAGTGTGCCGGTGAACACAGAGAAAGAGTGAGTTTCAGTTTCTGTCTGTGCCAGTCTGTTCCACACAGTGCCGGTGAGAGATGGTGAAAGCTGAGACCGATGTGTGCACTGACGGCGGCTGACGGAGAGACACTGAAGTAGTGCCGAGAAATTAATGATCTCCCAGCAGATCTTCCAGTGTGTGCTCTCTAGGCCTTCTCACTATAAGAGCTTTGGATAGAGAGAGAAAAACTGTAAGCACTGGCACTGAACTATAGAGCACCATCACTTTCTCTCTTACTCTTCCCTCTGCGCGTGCCAGTCGTCAGATCAGGTGGAAATTGCATCTCTTCCTCTTTCTCTTTTTCCCCTGTATTTCTTTTGGCAGTCTGTTCACTTCTATCAGCACATCATTCATTTCATTATATTTTCTGTGTACTGACAATGCTCACACGCTACACTGCAGTTGTCGACACTAGTGCTTAGGCTGCTGCTGTTGCTGTCTCCTTAGTACCGTCTGCAGACTGCAATCCAATCGAGTATACACACACACACTCCAATTGAGGTGAGAGTCGTGCAATGGCCTTGCAGTGCAGGGCACTGGGCAACCAACCAACTGTTTGCCGAGACAGCTTCTTCTTCTTCTTCTCTCCCAGCGATGACAGCTGACAAAACAGCAGTCAGACATATGCCTAATTTGCCCTGCTCGTCAGATGAGAGGTGCAAAAAGGTCAAGTGATGTGAGCCCAGAAGAAGAAGAAGAAGAAGAAGAAGAACAGAGAGTGGTATCCTATTTGCTTGATGCTGAAACCTTGCACAGTTGGTAAGGAAAAAGGGAAAGGGAAACACTACTCCAGTGGGTATTGAACAGGCAAAAAGCAAAAGTGCACTTTGCAATTTAGAAATGATATTTTACTTCATTTTTTTTACATTTTCCAAAACTTTTTTTCACTACAACTGCAAAAAAGGAAAACAGGATTGTTTGTGCATGCACCAACTTAAACTCAGTACACAGAAACTTTTTCTTTTCATTTTTTAGTGTCATTTGCATAACAGCGGCAAACTTTAGATGCAATCTTTTTGTCAAAGTAAGTAGTTTGCACTTTTTTATGCACCCACTTTGGCAAAAATCAATCGTTTTGTGCAGTGCTTTGACTGCTGACCAGTGGTCAGTGAGCTGAAGAGTCAGTTTCAGTTAGATCTAGCCTTCATGTCCTGCACGTCTGACTGCCTTTTGATTGAGTGACATTGCTGATTTTTTCTTTTCACTCCCCATCATTCTTCTGCTGTACTTGGCTGCAATGAAATCATGTTCCTCTTTTTCCTTGTGCCCCTTTCTATCACCGTCGATGGCCCACTGAGAATGGCCCATTGACATGCTGCTGTGTTGCCGCAATGGTGCAGCAGCAGCAACAACAACAGCGGCAACA